ATAATAGGTAAGGGAGAGAGGGAGAGAGAGCATAGTGTGATAAAGAGATATACAACAAGTAATTTGTTGACATTGAAGGAAGATAAATGGCCACTTAGAAGCTGCTGCTTTTAACTGGTATTCATATTCCAGCCATAGAAGTTGTTGTTGCTCCAGCTATGTTTCTTTATCATCCATATTGTTTGTTCGATGGATTCGACTCACATTTTATGACAGCTGCTTTGTTTATCCTACCAAGCTTTGCAGCTGGTCGGGCTTTAATTAGAATTGGCATGAGAGAGAGGGGAGAGAGAGAGAGAGAGAGAGAGAGAGAGAGAGGGGGGGGAGAGAGAGAGAGAGACTGAGAGAAAGACAGAGAGAGTGTTTGCTATATGCCTAATTGTTTTTCATAACAATTCCACAGTTTGTTGATAAGCTCATTCATTGTCTGTTGTCTTGTCATAATATATTTATTCTCAGGCTATCACTATTCGTTATGCTTACATAAAATGTGCATGTATACACTTACATTCAAGTATGTGTAAGTACATGTACATACATTCAGCTATGTGTACATATACATGTAATTCATATACATGTATATACGTAAGTATAGATGTACTGTACATTGTATATTTGTAACATGTGACATCAATGACATGTACACGTACAAGTTGATGTTTATTTTTCCTTCTCGTCCTATTCTATGGTCTCTTGCTGATCCCGTTCTATTATGCTACATGTTTATAGCCATTCTGCTGGTTCCTTGTGTCACTAAGTGATCAAAATTAAGATGGCAATCGTGTAAAATTTTGTATTTTTCAAGCTACAAAAATTGCAAAGACGTACATGTATCTGTCTCGATTCGTCGTCACATGTACTGTGTACATGCTTGTATTATGCTAAGATTATCTGTCTGTTGTAGTATAACTTATTCCTTTGTGACCGATAATTAATCCACTCTTTTACTATTTTCACTACTTCCTTCTTTCCCTCTCTCTCTCTCTCTCTCTCTCTCTCTCCTTCGTTAGAAAATGGTGCTGGCGACGATTTCGATCGTAACAACTTAAGCCCTGAGTCAGTCTCCGCCCATTCCCTTACACCCGACAGAAAATGGCAGTCGCTTGAAAATCTCACGGAAGGCGACCCCGATTCTGACGACCCTAATCTTTACGTGGTGAAGCATGACTATGTGACCAATCAAAGTGGTCAGCTCTCGATACGAAAAGGTGACAAGATCAGGGTCACCCCGGGCAGGGGTACTGGCGACTGGGTCGAAGGTACTAATGCAAACGGTCAGACGGGTTGGCTACCAGCTTCGTACATCGCCAAGATAGACAGTCTTGAGAAGCACTCGTGGTTCTTTGGTAATATCACTCGGGCGGAGGCAGAGCTGAATTTGGGTTCTGGCATAAACGGGTCCTTTCTTATTCGAGAGAGCGAGAGCAAGCCGGGACAATACTCAATCTCGCTTAGATTTGAGGGAAGGGTTTTTCACTATCGTATACACATAGACCCCTCATCAGAGCAGTATTATGTAACGCCGGAATCAAAATTTGATACGTTAACTGAACTTGTTAAGCATCACTCTAAGAATGCGGACGGATTGACGACGACTCTGCATTACCCCGCCCCCAATTCACACAAGCCTCCTGTTTATGGGGTGTCACATGACTTTGATAAGTGGGAGTTCGACAGGTCGAATCTAGAAATGGGTCTGAAACTAGGTGGGGGTCAGTACGGGGAGGTTTATAAAGCTGTTATGAAAGGTCGTGGGGTGAACGTGGCTGTCAAGACATTTAGGGTAAGGAGAGAGAGGGGGAGAGAGAGAGAGAGAGAGAGAGAGAGAGAGAGAGAGAGAGAGAGAGAGAGGGAGGGAGGGAGGGAGGGAGGGAGGGAGGGAGAGAGGGAGAGAGAGAGGGGGGAGAGAGAGAGGGGGGGGGAGAGAGAGAGAGAGAGAGAGAGAGAGAGAGAGAGAGAGAGAGAGGAAGAAGGAAAATGGAGGGAGGAATACCTATCTAAGTAAACAAACTCGCTCATCCGTTAATAAATAAAATAAATAAAATAATAAATAATAACAGCCTGGTATTAATAATTATGTTGTGTTCTATAACTTAAGCCAATCAAGCTTGACTATAGTGAGTGAAAAAGTCTTTTCATTTCTTTCATTATATCCTTATCTTCACTGAAAGTATTTATGATTCACAATCTCTAAGTTAACTGATAACAACATACATGTATACATGTACATGTACATATACATGTACTTACAGTTGTGTATCTATTTTTCTTTCTCTCTCTCTCTTTTATAGGAAGAAACAACAGATGCTACAGAATTTCTAAAAGAGGCAAACGTGATGAAGAAAGTAAAGCACCCGAACCTTGTCCAGCTCCTTGGAGTGTGCACACGGGAACTGCCTTTCTTTATCATCACGGAGTACATGCCCAAGGGTAACCTCCTGGATTATCTGAGAAGCACAGAAGGGAAGACACTTGATGCTGTAGTCCTGGTGTATATGGCACAGCAAGTGGCATCAGCTATGGCTTACCTTGAAAACATGAATATGATTCATAGGTAAAGACATGTATACATGTACATGTATACACGTAATGAATGTATACATGTATGTACATGTAAATATATGTACTTTAAAGAATGCACATGTACGTAATACATAAAACCATGAGTATCAGTAATGTAAGAACTGGGCCCCAAGATGTCTGCTCGAGTCAAAGCCAAGGGCAGATATCGAAGGGCAAGGGTCTTACATTGTACTGATACTCACCTCAAAACCATGGTTTATATAGTAGATGTACATGTACATGTTATATGAACATGGCCTACTGTAACTATATTACATGTACATACATGTGTATGTACATGTACTAAGACTTTAAATTGTTATTCTTATTATGAAGAGAGAGAGGTGAGTGTGTTGTGAGAATATGGTGGGTGTACAGAGAAATTAAGAGAGTTTGCTTTTCCTTTGTTTTCTTTTCATAATCTAAACATTGTCGTAATGGTGGCCTGTGTAATTGCTGATAATAATGATAAATAATAATTGTAATAATAATGAGATACAGTAACTGAGAGTTGTGGATGTTTTTGAAATTTTTAGAAATGGCTGCCATGAACCTTAATCAGTGTAGCCTCTTTATTAAGGACACCATTGGGCCCACACTACCTGTCCTTAATACATGTACAGTGTAGCCTCTTTATTAAGGACACCATTGGGCCCACACTACCTGTCCTTAATACATGTACAGTGTAGCCTCTTTATTAAGGACACCATTGGGCGTACACTACCTGTCCTTAATACATGTACAGTGTAGCCTCTTTATTAAGGACACCATTGGGCGTACACTACCTGTCCTTAATACAGAGGTGTCCTCATTTCAGAGGTACTTTTGCAAAGGTTTGTACCAATTGAGACATTACAAAATGTCCTCATTATAAAGGTGTCCTTATTATAGAGGCTACACTGTATACCAATTTGTTATGCGTGATTATTTATAAGTTTTGTCATTTTTTTCCTCAGGGATTTAGCCGCTAGGAATTGTTTGGTTGGTGAGAACTATCTAGTCAAAGTGGCCGACTTTGGTCTGAGCAGACTCATGGAGAGCGATATCTACAACGCCAGAGAGGGGGCTAAGTTTCCCATAAAATGGACAGCACCAGAAGCCCTTGCTTACAATAAATTTTCAATAAAATCTGACGTTTGGGGTAAGAAGCCACTTAATGCTGCAATACTATATACTGTAATTTGATTCCTGGCACATGTGCATGTTTGGTAGTGTGTGTGTTTAAAAATTCAAAGCTGCACACTTGTTTTAGGCAAATAAACAAACCCCATGGTATTTTTTAGATGTAGATTATGCTTACATACATGTATGTAACTTGATGAATTTAAGTCGGAATCTGCTCAAACTTTCTACACAGCATAAGGACATCAATATGTATCAGAAAATGTAATAAAAATTGGGTGTCATTTTTTAGCCATTTTTCAGAAAAAACCATGGGCTATAGCCTTGGGTATTTTTCAGATTTTGGCATATTTCTTAAAATGGCCGTAACTTGAAAAATTTATATCGGAATCAGCTCAAACTTTCTACACAGCATAAGGACATCAATATGTATTAGAAAATTAAATAAAAATTGAGGGTCATTTTTTAGCCATTTTTCAGAAAAAACCATGGGCTATTATAGCCTTGGGTATTTTTCAGATTTTGGCATATTTCTTAAAATGGCCGTAACTCGAAAAATTTAAGTCGGAATCGACTCAAACTTTCTACATAGCATAAGGACATCAATATGTATCAGAAAATGTAATAAAAATTGGGGGTAATTTTTTAGCCGTTTTTGGAAAAAACCATGGGCTATAGCCTTGGGTATTTTTCAGATTTTGGCATATTTCTTAAAATGGCCGTAACTTGAAAAATTTAAGTCGGAATCAGCTCAAACTTTCTACACAGCATAAGAATGTCAATATGTATTAGAAAATTTAATAAAAATTGGGGGTCATTTTTTAGCCATTTTTCGGAAAAAACCATGGGCTATATACGTGTAGCCTTGGGTATTTTTCAGATTTTGGTATATTTTTTAAAATGGTCATAACTTGAAAAATTTACGTCGGAATCAGCTCAAACTTTCTACACAGCATAAGGACATCAATATGTATCAGAAAATGTAATTTAAAAATCAAAATTAACAAATTTATATTTGTCCATTTTATTATGTTTTTGTTCATGTACACCTGTAGCATTTGGAGTATTGCTATGGGAACTGGCAACATATGGAATGTCTCCGTATCCTGGAGCTGAATTGGCTCAAGTCTACGAACTACTGGAGTCTGGGTACAGGATGCAAAACCCCGAGGGTTGTCCCTCTGCAGTTTATAACCTCATGACGCAGTGCTGGGAGTGGTTACCAGAGGATAGACCATCTTTTGCGGAATTATCTAGAATACTTAATGGCCTTTCAGACGTCAATGAAAGTATGAAATTAATAATAATAATAATAATAGCAATTTTGTGTCTGCTTTAGTAATATTTGTATTGTCAATTTTATTCTTTTTATCTGTATTTTTAACTCTTTCTATTTATTGCCCACCCACAGCTGTAGAGGCGACACTAAGAGGTGAGAACCCGACTCGGTTCGACAGTATTTCAGTCGAGACACCTACAGCCCAGCACACGTCCTTCTCACAGAAACGCACTCAATCAAACGGCGGACACCCACCCCGACCTCCCCTCCCCTCGGTACCGAAACAGGATCAGCCAGAACTCCCTCCCCCTCGTGCAAGCCGAGGCTTACCTCCTCCGCCCATTAGCAGAGGCAATCAAGAGGAAACACCACGCCCACCTCCTTTAAGAGGTACCAGAAAACCAAGCATGGACACGCCCTCAACGACCGGTGGTCCAGCCATCCCTGCTCGTCCAAAGCCTCCTCCTCCGGGTAGACCGGCCGTTCCTATTACTTCTCCAAATAGAGGAACTTCTTCAAAGCCGGCGACTGCTCCAAAACCTCCCATTAAAGGACCGAAACCTGTCGTGCCTAAAAAGACTACCGAATTATCGCTGGGTCTCTCGAAACCAGACGAGCTGAGTTTGTCGGACAAGATAGACAGACTCCAAAGCAATGCTCCTCTGTTAATAGACTTTGTCAATCAGCAGAGACCTAATCTCGCTCGAGATCTCTCGGATTTCGCTCAGTTAGTGACTTACATCATAGAAGAGGCTCAAAGAGCAGAGAACGATTCTTCGGTTACTTTTAAACGTTGCATTGCTGTACTACAGTCCCAGAGAGGAGCTCTTACCGATTCAACGGTTCAGTCCGATCCGACTAAGTTAACGAAAGCGATAGAAGTGTTAGTGACTAAGAGTCAAGTACTCTCAAGTCATCTCAAGTGACAACAGCATCTTTATTTATCATTAATTTTATTTTAGTGGTAATTATTAACTTTAATCACTGATGCTTCTCTCCATATAATCATTCGGTCACAGAGCAGCTAATAATAATAATAACAATAATAAATATTATTATTATTATTATACTTGCTTGTGAAAATTACATTTCCTTCCTCTTTTACTATTTTTGTAGTATATTGTTACTAAATTAAATCTTCCTCCCCCCTTCTCTCTCTCTCTCTAGAGTTATAGAAAATGGTATGATTGTTGTTCTAGTTATTAACTAATGTTGTTTTTGTTTATCATTTTCTGTTTTCTTGTCGTTTCCTCTTTTTTATTTGTTGTGTTGTGGTCGCTCTTGAAAATATTGTTGCAACCGTTTATCAATTTCAAATAAAATGAAAAAAAACAGAAAAATTATTTTTAATGCACAAAAATGGTTGTGATAAAAACACTTGTCTTTAGTGTAGGTTAGATAAAGTGTTCAGCCAAATACTACACACACTCTATAGCGTACATCTCCATTTAACGAACAGCACCTAGTGTACCAACTACATTCCTTACTGTATAAAATAACCTCCACATAAAGGACACCTCTGTATAACAGAGACACTTTCTTGACCCAAAGTATCCATTATAAACTATGGGACTACATTTAAATTAGCTAGTTCATTATTAATTTTATTAGAAATAAAATTATAGACTAAATTGAGTAATCTGTGATTAGGTGCATGACTCATGTACATGCCAATAGAAATAATTAACAAAAAGAGGAACTATTGATTATCATTAAACAACTAAGAGTCAACTCTCATTCATTTCCTATTCAGTTCTCTGAGGTGACTGGTACCAAATATAAAGGAAAGACATCTATCAATGCAAAGAGTAGCAAAGAAATCAACCAGCAATACGGCAAAAAGCTTCGTCTGGAACTAAAAAAACAAAGCAAAAAATAACAGTAAACAAACTTCATCCTTTTTGAATTAAGTTGGCAGCTGCTGAAAATTGTCAGTGCTTTAATACCTCCACAGGGAACTCTACGATATGAAGCCATTCACAGAGATCAGTTGAGAGACCAGAGGCTAGTAAGAGTATGACACCAGCAGTCGCCATTAGACTGTAGAGTAGAGGTTTGTTTGATGTTAGACTTATCATAAATGGATGACCCTAAGATTAAAGTATAACAGTATTGCAATTACTACAAATTGCAATACTTATTCTACAACTGTATACCGGTATACATATACAAGTACCAGAAAATGTAACAAAAATGGAGAATTCTCTCTTTTCATATTTGGTAAAATTTAACCAAAAACCATGCACTATAGTATAGAGACTTTGGTCCGATTTTGGAGCAACAGAAAAAGTACTAAGAATCCTCTCCTAGTCATTTACTTTATAATTAACTGCAAAGTTTCCGACTTGCATTGTCATTGATATTATATAAACTGCACTGTTGGTGATGCCCATCTCAAACTCTTTCTCCAAATCAACAAACTCCTCATCACTTCTATACAAACAAAAAAAAAGCAAAAATTATATACCACATACAGCAAAATTTTTTAACAAATAAAAAATTTTTCATTTAAAATTTGACTAATATCTTTAATTTTTTTAATCTTACGGAGGTGAGATCTGTTTGGCTTCTTTGACTAAATAGATGAGGCATGAGAGGTGAATAGCAAACTGGAGGATGACTGTCAATATGGTGTACGTGTTGAAGATATTAGTGAGTGGTCTCTCTTTACTTAGGGTGCCTAATGGCTGATGATAATAATAATAATAATAATAATAATAATAATAATAATAATAATAATAATAATAATAATAATAATAATAATAATGATAATAATAATAATAATAGAATATTAAAAATATTCACTAACTTTAGATCTTGATATAAACAGGAAGCATCCTGCCAGCAGTATACCCTGAAGGGTTGCTTGACTATAAAGAAACATACATCAGCAATCTTTCACTTAAAGGCCAGTTAAATGTAATTGTAATAAAATTTTTAATCAATGATTAAAATTTTGAGTAATACATGTACATCTACATGTAGATCATAAAATTAAGATACTTACAGATCGGAGAATTTAATTCCGTCCAGATAAAGGACACTCTGAGAATAAGCTAATACTAACGCATTGAGTGCTAATATCTTGAACATTTGGAGTGTTGTAATCAGTGTGCATCTACCCTGCTTTATAACATGGCATACTTAGGAAAGGAGGATATTGAGAGAGGGGGGGAGAGGGGGAGAGAGAGAGAGGGGGGGGGAGAGAGGGAGAGAGAGAGAGAGAAAG